CCCGCAGCTTTATTGTATAGAATAATAGGTTAATATGTTATGGTTATATAGGGTTCTTTTTTCAGTGAGAAGAGAATGACACAAGCAAAACACTAAAATGTAAATCAGTATCATCCTGCTTGTGTCATTCTCTTCTCACTGGTGAAAGGAAAAGACCACTATTATTATTATAACATATTGTACAAACTGATACATACACAAAGTAAGCGACATACCTTTTAGCTCTTTCTAAGTCATCGTTAGCCTGTTCCAGTTCTGTATTACATATTTTTGTAGTTCATCTTTAAATGCAGAAACTTGAGCTGGTTCATCTTCTAGAAGAGAAACTTGTTTATGGCTGGACCCTGTAGTATCTCTAATTTTTCCTGATAATGACAAGCAAAAACTTGCTGATAAATAACCTCTCCATAATTGATATGATAATCAACTCTGTTACCATGGTTACATTTCATTTATCTACATCAATATTCATAATGTCAGAAAAAACAAGAAGACATGGTCATCAACATCCCCATACCCACACGGTTCTGTTTTTTAACTCCACAGCGACATTCATGTCCTGATAACACCTACCACATGTGGTTTCCCTATCTGTAGCGGTTACTGAGAAAATATGTTCCCACTCGGGGTTACCATGCACTAAGTCAAAAAAGCATTTGACAAGGGCCATAACTCTATAAAGAGATAAATGCGTGGTTTCCATCAAGGCATTTGTGTCCTGAAAATACTTACCACAAATTTGGTTTCCCTATCTATAACTGTTTTTGAGAAAAACCTTGTCCCCATTGGGGATACCGTGCACTTAGTACAAAAGCATGACAAGGGCCATAACTCTGTACAAGCGATGACTGAGGTTAAAGGAGAATCTGAAAAGAAAACAAACCTTTTGATATATTGTAAAAGGATATTCTAAAAGTCACCTACCGTGATTAAAACTGAACAAAAAGTTTGTAAAATAGCAATAAAAACTCAAAAAAAGCGTACTTTCGTATTTCCGCCTATTACGGAAACATCCGACAGTTAATGAGCAGAGGGGTATCCGCGTGACATGGCGTCCCACCCATTAAATATATGACCAGTCCCTAAGAATTTCTTTTTAAATGTAATTGCAGTTCCTTTTTGTGTCAAATGAGTGACTGTAGGGTGTCTGGGATTTAAAACAAAATAATTATGCTTCAGAGGGAAATGGAAATTATCTGCTACAAAATTACACTGGAATTACTTTGTTGAAAAAATTAGGATCCTACGGGGATTTTCGGGAAAGCAGCCCACTCAATAATTAAGCCCATGAAACATTTTTAGGTGAAGCGATTATATGGGGTTAATACTTATTTTTCATTACTGCTATTTAGAAATATAATTCACAGTAAACTTTTGTTATTTATGTGTCTGAGGTCATTGTTCATTGTAGATGAATATAAGCGGGTAGGAAAATAAATTTAATAACACTTTTGCGCGGGATATCGTTGTCGTTTTGACACACAGATTTTTACACTAATGGTTAAAATTAGCCTGATTTAATTGAAAAATCTTCATTTACATTACATTATCTAGCGTTATCGTTACATCATTTATGTTCATGCATTTAGCGGCACACGTTTCAAAGCGACATTACAACTTACCGGTATGATGTTTTGATGACCTAGAAAGATGGTGGCTTTCAATAAGCCAATCAGATTAGCTGACACAAAAGCATTGCGTAATTCCAAATAAGGGCATATTGTCCAACCCACTTCTAGTCTGAATTTTAGCTTGAATGAAAAGCAAACACACCGCGTCGTCTCTTCAACCAATTGTTTTCACAAATAAATTATCACTGTACGGTAATCAAATCAGGGCTCCAGCAAGCGGCAACTGCTGTGATAAACAATCACAATTTGTAACTGTCTAAATAAATCTTAAAATAAAAAATAAATCTTTATTCAAGGAAATGTTGTTATTATTGAAGGTACATAATGTATGTCATATGTTCTGTCTGTCCCGCCTTGTAGCGTATGTAAACAACTGCATGACCTATAACCCTCTACATTACAATATTGGTACCGTAACATTGTAAGGTTAAATTTGACTGGCTGACAAATTTGACAGCAGCTTTCTGATTGGATGATAGTCACATGCTTACAAAATGGCTGATGATCAAGTTTGGGTTCACGAAGAGGCAAGATGACTGCCTTGATTTCATGAATTATTAGGTATGTTTTAACTGTCACAAGATAAGCCCAGGGTATATTGGCAACACATTTTTCAGATAGATAAATAATGTTATGACTACTGCATGTTGAATTGCGAAGATTTCATTTTGGCCACATTTTGCTTGCATCTACACGATATCTAATCAGGATGAAACTCGACAGTGAGTTGATTTTAGTTCCCGACTATTGAATTATTTTTATTTCTGAATTATCGCCCGGGCGGTTATGTGGTCCATTTTTGACCCCCAATTTTCCCCAAATTTCCATTTTACAGCCCTGGGTGGCTTTCCGGAAAATCCCGGTAGTTCTCATTTATAAGGTATCAAGTCTCTATACAAGATCCCAGCCTGGTTGAGCAGAGATAATATTCGCAACGCAGGAAAGTTATTCCCCAAAACCTGGTGAATTATAAAATACTAGTCAGGACAATGTATGTTTCCCCAGCGTTTGGTTATGGATATAGTTATGGATATAGTTATGGTACTCGGTCATACCCTTAGAATGACATCTTGTCAGCCAATGAGAATACAGAACAACTTTCACGGCACACACTACTGACAAATAGCGAGTCTGATGCCAACGTGCGTAATTGGACAAAATGGAAAACAATGAAAGCAAAAAGTGAAAGCATGAAAGTCGGGTAGACTGCAGCATTTAGGGCTCCAAACCAAAAAGAACGTTATAATGAAACATTTTCAAGCTCATGTGAAATCTCTTACTGATTTTGATAATATATATCTCATGGGTACCAGTCGAACTGCCCCAGCTACAAAATGCCCCAGCAAATTTGGTCATTCATTCTAATTTGGTCAAATTCATCTAAACTGATTAAATATATGCCGTAAATGCATAGTTTTTGTCAACTTTGAGATTATGTTCCTCATATAAAAGTTATTAGGAAGTAATATTTCTGATAAATGTTCCATTAGTAAACTCATAACTATGTATATACCTTTATATGAAGAACATAATATCAAAGTTGACCAAACTATACATTTATGGCATATATTTAATCATTTTAAATAAATTGGGGCATTTTGAGTACCCTGGAGACAATTTGACCAACTTTGCTTGGGCAACTTGTAGCGGGGGAGCAATTCGACTGGCAATCGGACTTGATTTAATTTATGTTAAAAATACCACTGACAGTAAGTTGTAACAGGGAATGATGGAGTATAAATGTATCTAAGTGGGTACTTCTTCCTTCTTCAGCCTAGCTTTGGGATTTTTACACCCCATGTGTTCATGTCTCTTTCATATCGTCCGACTCAGAAAGATCAGAGCATTTCTCTTGCCTAAATATGTCTCTTTACTTGGAAAATGGACGAAATGGTGGCTCTTTCCATTGTTCGATGATTCCGTGCATCCCCAGGCAACAGAATACATCATGGTGCCATTTACAAAAACGACAGAAACAACACGATTTGTATTACTGTAGCATTTGTTCTTTGGCAATATGACGGAGTGAGTGAGTGAGTTTAGTTTTACGCTGCACTCAGCAATATTCCAGCTGTATGGCGGCGGTCTGTAAATAATCAAGTCTGGACCAGACAATCCAGTGATCAACAGCATGAGCATTGATCTGCGCAATTGGGAACCGATGACATGTGTCAACCAAGTCAGCGAGCTTGACCACCCGATCCCGTTAGTCGCCTCTTACGACAAGCATAGTCGCCTTTTGTGGCAAGCAAGGGTTGCTGAAGACCTATTCTACCCCGGATCTTCATCGGTGCAATATGGCGGACACTAGTCACATGACGTCACAAGAGGAAAGGTCATGTGAGTTCCAGCGGAATATGCATAATGGCCGAAGCTCAGATAACAGAAACTGTTTTCACGATAAAAACATAATAAACCATATTTCTGAAATAAAAATTGGGGTACATGTTTCTGATGACTTTATCTTTCACCCAGCAAATTATTGCAATTGTCTAGTATTCTCCTTTAAACAACAAGTAGAATGGTGCTGTCTCATCTGATATCTGATGAGTATGTTATCTAGTTATAATCTCTACTTACCCTTAATGATTCACATTCTACTGTGAGCCTGTGTTTATCAGCCATTAATTCTTTATTCTTGTTTTCCAGCTGTTCTAGTTGCGTCTCCAGCTCACATTCTAGTTCTCGGCTGCTGATTTGGAATTCTTCTAGTTCCTCCTTAGTCTCTTCAAGTCTGAAAAATACAGCAGTTGTGACCATTCACATTGACCGGAAATGATCACATATCTGTACACATGACGCTTAGACAAGATGAGACAAACAGATATAAGTATGACAACAATAAGTTCTTTTCCATGACCATGGTGAAATCTTTGGACCCTGATCATCACTACTGAGTATCAGGTTACCAATATTTATAGACGTGACAACTTGTGAGGAAAAATAAACTTGCAATAATGTTTCTATTTCAAGGGAATGTCCACCATGTCAAAAAGAACAAGACGCAAATTAGGGAAGGTATATTTAGACTCCCTTGGTTATCAACAGATGACCACATTGACAAGATTTATTGCAAAGTCTAAATTGTCTGAACATGTTAAGACTGTTAGTCCTATATGCACATGGTCCTTGTGCATATACAACATGATGAAGGCCATAGTTTTGCCAACTAACAACCACAGACATTACAAATATTGGAATGATTTTCTTTGTTGTTATGAAACCAACTGAGCCAAATAGCATCCATGGTAATAACAAGCAGTGTGACAGTGTTCAGGAAGGATTAACACTGACAAGTCATTGGTCTGCTCCTGTTGATTACAAACTATCTTACGAAATGAATGCATCATTTTTTTCAATTGAAGTGAGTGTGTTGTTTTCTCATGGCATACATAAATGCATGCATCCATCCATGACATTGACAGATGATTAACCTTCTTCTGGTTCTGCAATGTGCATTACTTGCAGTAAACATGGTAAACTATCTGAAACACTAATTTTTCAAAACTTTAGTAGATTTAAAGATTACCATGAACATTACACTTCAGGAACTGTTAAACATATTTTCTATTATGATTCTTTTCCGATGCATTCATACTGGATAGACATTACTCAAACAGTTCAACAAATATCTTGATGTGTAACACATATTTATATATCATGTCTGACAAGAGGAAATGATGCTGACCTCAACAACATGGTGACAATGATTTGTTTTAATGCATTAATGAATTGTAATGCAATGAATGTGTAGCAGCCTCAAAACGGCCAAGTCCTGTGATGAGATTCCAACCACTGACCTTCTGATCTGAGGTCAGATACCGTGTCCACATGACCAAAGAAATTAACCGTATCAACAAGGTAGGATGTTACCTGTGAGACTGTTATGCTTTGTAATGTTCATGGCTACGCACATGTTAACAGGCCCATGGTTTCCACATGCAAAAACTGAAGTGACACAAGGGTATGGCAGTGTTTTTGTTTGGGAGTCATCATGATAGGAGGCAGAGATTTACATGTATTTTAAACCCTGTTATTACCTCAAGCCCGAATGAACATAAAACGTGACATGATAAAAATAATTACCATAGCAAAGTATTCACTGAAAACAATCTAGTACACTGAGTAGCAAGCTAGTAGCACATGCACATCTATAATTACAAAACAGGTTATCTATGTCATTTTGATTGCAACCTAGTTACAGCTGTATGCTTGTAGGTTTGATGAACACAACTAAGTCCAATGTTACAGGTCATTACACATGCATGGGAAGCATGGTGAATGTTTGTGCACTTTGTGATTCCTCATGCATGGCATCACCAGTGTTACAGTTGTAACAACTTGTATACATGTATCACTGTGTGACCTACAAGTAAAAGAAATCTGAACATTAATACTCATTTATAATATCAACTATCTTACGTATAATACTACATGTGTCTTATAATTAATACCATAGTATTAATTTAAATTCTTGATTTTGTTCCAGTGATTTATATATTCTGGGGACTTGGGGACTCGCAACCTCCAACAGTACAGTCCAATATTACAAACTGGACAAAATGTCAAACACTGAATAAATGATAATTCCAATAAAGGAGCTTAACCATGTTATTTCCTTGTTGGTTTTTATCTATTTCAATATGAAATATGTGTATTTTTTATTCATGTTTGTTTGTAGATGAACTAGATCATTCCATGCTGAAATATATTTGCAAATACTCTACAGGCAAAGCAGACACTTCACCTCAGTCAATTTGAAGACACTACTCTACAGGCGAAATACATAATACTGCGCATCCCCAAAGCTGTTACTCAAATATAAATATGGAATTACTCAACAGAAGTGCTAGTTCAAGATGAGCTTTGACTGACTGACTGATTGACTGACTTAGTATGGTTTTACGCCATTTTTCGCAATAGTCCAGCAATATCACGGCAGGGGACACCAAAAATGGGACATGAGCTTTGAAGTTTCGACGATGTAAACGTTTTCATGATGTTAACAAATGGAAATTTATATTTTGCAGTAATTTATAAGTAATGCAGTTTATCAAATAATTTCATTCACCATTCATTGAATATGAATACACATTTTTTGCACCCTTGTGGATGCATGTCCATTTTCAATCTTTAAGCATGTTGGATATTTTGCATCGAAGGATATCACATCCAATAAACCTCAGACTGATCATCGCCATCCTTATCAGCACGGCATGTCAATCTTTGGATCTTTTAGCATAGTGAGTGTTTTTGCTACATACCCCAAATTTGCCAAATTACCATATTAATTTAGAAAATACTAAAATGATCAGTCTATCATCAGATATGTTTACAATCAACATTCAACTAGGCTAGTCAAACGTGAGATGCATTATCAGGAAAGACAAATGAACTTACTCTTGCTTGAATTTCTCTGCAAGGCTTCGCCAATATTTCAGCTCCTCTTCTGGAGTCTGAAACTTCTTTGCATCATCCGACATTTTTTCCCAATGTGCATCAATTACCTTCTTTCACAAAGATCCCAGCTCCATCTACACAGTGCTGTCATCTAACCATAACACCGTAACTGGTGTCATATGGACATTTTATTATGTGAATTATGGACTGGTCTAACAGGTGTCACTGTGACACCACGGGTCAAAAGATGTTGATTAGGAGGAAACTACTTATACAGCTAACCCAAACCAATATATATCATCAATGTCAATCATCAATGTACTCGAATACATATACGGTTAAAACATGACAGTAATATCAGCTAATTATCCTCAGACGATAAATGAAATCCAGAGCAGTCCTATTTTCAGTCAAACCTGAAACGTCAGATCGGTCGAACAAAACACACTTGATCTGATCAATACACACGTAGATTTTCAATCTGATGGCTGTTCTAGATACATGGTCTCTAAACGCTTCAGAATATATGTATCACGTAACAGTCCAACAAATATACAGTGTGAATTAGAATAATTAATGTCCCTCAGTTATGACTGAAACTTTGAACGGAAGTTGGATATCAAATATGGCTACGAAAGTAGTTCGACGATACATGCGCCTGTTTTAGGAATTCTGTTATAATAAATAACCGAGTCATTTAATGAAAACCAGTGTAATAACCTAATACACGTTATGCTTCAAATCGACACTTTTGAATATACTAATCATATCAATGGTATAACTATTTGTTTCACGGGATTATTTTGTGACAAGGGAGACTACCGTAGGAATAAATTCGATTGACGAAAGCAGACGTAAAATAACAAATTTAGCCTAGCGTTATGGGTTTTCGGACACTTTTAAAAGAACATCCGTTGTTGTCTTCATTACCGCATGAACGATTGCAAACAATTGTAAAACATATCAATAACTAAAAGATAACTTTGTCCCAACATAGGCCATCATTCAAGAGGTTACAATGTCGATCGGTGTGACGAAACACCGGTACAGCCCCAGTGGTGTTCACTGGGGCTGTACCGGTGTGCCGTCTGAAAACATATTATCCGACGAGAGCCCATTTCTTGTACGCCGGTCATACTTTAAGTTACAACCCTCATTTCTCTTTCTACAACACAAAAAAACCTATTTGCAATTTATATCTAACAAATGTAAACGTTAAACAAAGTTAATAACGTCTTTCTTTGCTTCACTTTTGATTACAGTGAGTGAGTGAGTTTGACGCTGCTTTTAGCAATTTTCCAGCAATATCACGGCGGGGGTCACCAGAAACGGGCTTCATACATTGTACCCATGTCGATTCGAATACGTGTCTTCGGCGTGACGAGCTAAAGCTTTAACCAATAGGCTATCCCGCCGCCCCTTTGATTAACGTAATACCTATATCTCGTAATATTTGTAAACAATAGGTATCTATAGTCTTAGTTTATACTTCGGATGTTGATTATTTCAAGTTGTATCTCGTAGATTACCCATTGGAGTTACGCAAGGATATGCAAAACTAAACAAGCACCGAGCAGGGCGCTCCTTTGATGAATCACGATTGTCGGAAATGCGCAGTGCGTGTAGCCTTTGATGTCCTGAATCTTACAACACCACACGAGACTGTAACATCTAGGGTCCCCTTTCTCTCACACAAGAATATCTAATACAAACAGATATTGTAGCAATATTTTGAATGTTTCAAATTGTTTTGTATCAAACCCCAAGACCAAAATATATCGTAAATAAATAAAATAACCCTTATCTGTCACCCGAGTGATCGAAATGTAACAGTCTGTGGCATTGTTTTGTTTTTAACAATGTCCCAGCTGTTTAAACCAGCCCTGGATGTCGCAGAGGTTACGCAATCTTTCTTTTGGGGGAAGTTTGTTCTATAGATAAATGATGTCAGGAAGTTCTAAACAAGAGGAATCTAAGAGCCAAGGTGAAAGGACACATGTCAAATAGTTTTCAAGGACAAGTTCAGAGTTGAATATGCGATAAATGGTACCTTTAGAAGAATGTCAGAGGGGTACACAAAGTCCGTTATCTAGACTACAAGGTGTCCGACTTCCATTTTTGTGGAAGCCGCGGTGGCTGAGTGGGTTAGATAGCTGACTTTCTTGTGCTGGCGATTAGGTGCCTGACTCTGAGGGTGTAGGTTCGAATCCCGGATGGGACTCAACAACAGTACTAGAATCTGTACTTTACTGAGAAAGTCTAATCCAGAATACAAACAAACAAATATTCACTTGGTTATAGTCAGTTTAACTCGGAAAGGATGTAAAAACCTACACCGAAACGTCACTCTATGTTATCCCAAAAGTAGCATACTTTTTGATTTGTGGTGTCTTCTAGAATACAGCTATAAATGATCTACGAGCGCTTCCAGGAAATGCTTTTTGTCCATTTACGAAGCGCTCATAAAATACGTTATATATATCTAACCACAATGGCGCCATCCGCCCTCTCAGAGCCAAGCTGGGAGTGTTCCCTAGTTCCAGAGTCCACGTGGCGACAGTAACATAGTCGTTATGGTGTTGTTGCGCCTTGTAAAATATGTCAAACATATGAATGTTGCTGGTCAAATAAGGAACTCTAAATGAATCCTGATCTGCCTCATGTAAAATTTGTTATAATGTATTCAAATAATATAATGACAAAACCTGTTGAAAATGTATCTTAAAATGGCTTCCTACACACAATTCCTACCTAGTTATTAATCTCAGGAAATAAAATCAAGAATTGAAATGATTCTCTTTTTCGACTTTCCAACCTGAATTGTCCTTATTTCTAAACATTGAAGTCTGGCCTAATGCTCCATATTAATACATTTGAGTATCTTCGGAGTAGTGTGCAACGTTACCCTGGGATCATTTTCAAGATGGCGGCGCCCATAGGGCGCGGCCATCTTGGATCAGTCACTTCCGGTCAGGGGAGATCACTCGGGTTCCGGTTCCGGTGCTTCCGGTTCCGGTGGGTGCGCACGCATCGCGATGACGTCACGTCCGGTTCCGGTGGTTGCGCGCGCATGACGATGACGTCACCTCCGGGCCAAGATGGTGGACGCGTTTCAAGATGGCGTCCCATCCGGTGGGATCGGGTGAGATCTCGCGAGATCTCGTGGATTCTCGCGGGATCTCGCGAGCGTAGACGCCTTTCAAGATGGCGGAACGGACGAGCGGCGGACGGGACGGGACGGAGAGGGAAGGGAAGGGAAGGAGAGGAAAAGGAGAGGGAAGGGAGGGAGAGAGGGGGGTGAGGCGGACACGATGGCGTGGCTAGACAAGTGTTAGTGTGTGTGTGTGTGGTTAAAACAACATTGGATGGAGCATTCTTTCGAGCCAGGTGGGTGGCCCTGAAAAGGGCCGTTATGATGGTATGGACGGGAAGGTGAGACCTCACTTTGTGGTGGCGATGGTACATAGACAGAGCAGGTCGAGGCCCCGGAAAATAAATTTCCCGGGGCAGACTTCGTCGTGGAGATGGTTAGCCCCTTTGCGGACGCCTCCCCCGCAGTAGGTACACACGTAGTACGGTGCACCTGGGGTGACATCGAATTGGTTGGACGGCAAGGCTTTCCAACACGTTTGGCATATAATGAACTTCCAATTGGGTGGTAGACATTGCCATGCCGGTGGCGGAGGTGGTACTGCCGTGGATGGTGGGGCTGCCGCTGCTTCTGTCTCTTCCCTTTTGATGTCAGCCTTCTCTTGTAAGGTAGGGCTGCATCGTAGGCATTGCCTCCTACCACAATTTTTCCTGTAAGGCGTCGGTCGCATGACTTCTACTTTTCTTGTATTCATGTTGCATGAAGATAGCTCTCACTGACCCATGCTGGAGTTTATATATGGGCGACCAGACAGCGATGACGTGGTATCGATGACGTCATGGTCGCGCGTGAGGGTAATGACGTGGTATCGATGACGTCATGGTCGCGCGTGAGGGTCATGACGTGGCACCGCTGACGTCATGATCGTGAGCTCTCACTATATAGGATGAGCGGAATGACCGAAGCAGTGTTACAATCAGCAATCATGGCTGAAGAAAACTGGGATTTAGAGTTAATACCCTTGGACACAACATCGCCACCCCCCTTGCCGGCATGGCAGTGTCAACAATGTCATGGCTGCCTGCCTGTTTACGCTAATGGGACTGATGACTATCGTGGTACCTTCCAATGTGTGTACTGTGGCACTGTCTTGAAGGACACGTACATCCGCCGATTGACCCATGGGAGCAAGTGCCCCGTCAAGACAAAGATGACCATCCATCCCTGCCAATGTATGACCCTACTGTGGTCCCTGGAGTGAAGTACACTCCGAAAAAACGGCCCTTTTCAGGGCCATCCATCTCTCTCAAAAGAAAGGTTCGCTTCAATGCCAGCAACAATAATAACAACACTAGGTTGACATTTTCAAACGTTTTATTTCCCCGCTAACAAGAACACTTTGACAAAAAGAGACAGGATTAGGGGCGTCCCTGATCTTTTTGTTTACAAACGGTATGAACTGTAACATTAGAACTGTAACATCAGAACTGTAACATCATCACATCAGAACGATAAGGTTGTGTCCTTTGGCAGGGTGTGGATCATGGTTAGCGTTGTTGTTGTTGTCTGTCAGGCGTCATGGGTTGAAACCAACGCCTTACACGTTCTTCATTGACGAGGGTATCGTGAGGGATCAAACTGTTCCATCACTTCGTCAAAAGACCATCCACGGGCACGATGAGCCAGTACATACAAACAGTACATTCCACAAGAGGCACTGAACCAGGGTTGAAGTGATTGGCCATTCCACTGTTGTTGGAGCCATCCGCCGAAGGTCATGACATTTCGAAAGTCTGGATGCTGTTGATAGGGATGAAGTCCATAACTGTCAAAGTAGTCCATGGCACCTGGTACTGGACGATACACGCTACACCCAGTGTTGTCCTGGGAGATGGCTGGGGTCCGTGTTGACAATGTAGGCTTTAGGATAATGTCCCTCCTGCTGTTCACACAGCACGGTGGTGGCAAAGTGATCTCGGCAAAGGTACCTTGGTAGAGGGGTCGCAGCAGGATCCTGTTGGTGCGTAGGCGTTCAAGTGCCTGGTCGTCAAGCCACTGTCGTCGTCGTCCCATCCTTAGACCATCAGAGCGCTATGAACCGATCAATTTCCAAAACGCTTCAGATTCCTCGTAGCAGACGAGCGTGGCGGGCGCGGTAGGGTTCTGCAAACTGAAGTTCAAGTCCCAACTTGCCCGTCTGTCGGTAGGTAGTTATACCCTTCATCTGCTTCAGATCCGCCGCCAGATCCACCACCCACACGGTGAATCCGCTCCTGAATTCGTCCAGGGTGAGGTTGCAGGGATGTTCTTGCCACAGGTGTCCCGTGTTTATGGAACAGGTTCATGTACAACTGTTTGAGCGAGGCACTGTTGTCCTGAAAGTCGCTTTTTGATTTCGGTGCCATGCACTTCTTGCCCATTGAGTTTCAGCTTGAGACTGGTCACGTTGTTGTGCTTGAAATGGTAGGGGTTCTTTCCTTG